CTTGCCACTCCATAGTTTTATGCCTGGCACTCCATGGTTTAATGCCTGACACTCCATGGTTTAATGCTTGCCACTCCATGGTTTAATGCCTGGCACTCCATAGTTTAATGCCTGGCACTTCATGGTTTAATGCCTGGCACTCCATGGTTTAATGCCTGGCACTCCATAGTTTAATGCCTGGCACTCCATGGTTTAGTGCCTGGCACTCCATGGTTTAGTGCTTGGCACTCCATGGTTTAATGCCTGCCACTCCATAGTTTAATGCCTGGCACTCCATAGTTTAATGCCTGGCACTGCATGGTTTAATGCCTGGCACTCCATAGTTTAATGCCTGGCACTGCATGGTTTAATGCCTGGTGCCTCATACACCGTCACGCTTCACTTAATAAATCACCAATAAATAACTTCTTCATTACTTTAATCACCACGCAGTAATTAAATATATCCTTAACTAGGTCATTATCGATTAATGACATATCTATAACGAACTGTATCTCCTGAACCTCGTTCGTTAAAACCGATGCATTTACGTGAAAACTATATATATTGGATTTTTTTTCCGGTTTATGGAGGGAGGAAGCTCGTTAAATCCTGGTTATGAAGAGGCGAGTGTATTATAAAGGGTCTATTGGGTGGTCTTCGTTATACAACCCGGAATTAATTATTGGTATGTGCGGCTTGTGTTTTTATTTGCTGTTGTTGTTTTTGTTTTTTATTTGTGGGGTTGTATTTTGCGTGTTGTGGAGAGAGAGATGAAATGATTGAATAAAGTAGAAAGAGAAAGACAATGAAAGGAGAAGAGGAGAAACTGAGAGGGAAGGTGGGAGAGAAAGATGCAAGAGAGAGAGACAGAGACAAACGGAAAGATTGACAGAGGGGAGAGGTGACCTTGAGTGAGGGGAAGCTGGGAGATTGTAAGGGAATTTGTGAGAGGGAAGAGAGGGAGAGTAAAGGAGATAGATGAGAGGGAGAGTAAAGGAGATGGATGAGAGGGAAGATAAAGAGAATGAAGATGGATGAGAGGAGACAGAAGGAAAGTAAAAGGGATGGATGAGAGGAAAAGTAAAGATGGATGATAGGGGAAAAAGAGGGAGAGTAAAGGAGATGGATGAGAGGGGAAAGAGAGGGAGAATAGAGATGGACGAGAGGGAGAGTAAAGAAGGTGGATGAGAGGGGAAAGAGAGAGGAAGAGTAGAGATGGACGATGGTAGAGAGAGGGAGACTAAAGAAGATGGATGAGAGGGGAAAAGAGGGAGGGTAAAGAAGATGGATAAGAGGGAGGGTAAAGAAGATGAAAGAGAGGAGGGGGGGGGGAGAGGGGGTTTAAAGTGGATGCCTAAAGTGTGCCGTGGTTATGTGGATACAGATCTCTCCTACTATCCAAAAGTTCATTGATTCGATCCCTGGGCACCCCCAGTCCACCCACCTGAGAATAGGTACCTGACGTTACAGTTTAGGAAGTGAAAGCAGTCGAGTACAGTACCGGCCACGCTCTCTCCTTATGTACCAGAAGCTTGATAAAATACATAACAGATCTACAGTAGTTGCCCAGATTACAAAAAAATTCTCGACTGTAACCGTGCAGAGCTTTCAGGGGAATTAAAAAATATATGTTACAGACTTTGAATACATTACAGAATCGTAGCTACAATAACAACACACAGAGCTCTTAGTTAATTACAAAAAAAGATAGGTTGCTGTAGTTTACAAGGCTCTCTGATTATTACAAAAAGGGGGAAGGAAGTGTTTGTGTGTGTGTGTGTTGAGCAGTACAGTAAGGGGTGATAGGTGGCTTTGTAATGGAAAATACATAATTAAGTGATGTTTACAGTGTGTGTGGATACTGTAACTGATGATTCTGGGGTAGATGAAAATATTAATAATAATTATAATACAGTTGTAACGTTTCTGTAATGATGATATACAACATTATGTGAAAGTTTCAGTGAGTTATATTACAAGGGATTATTATAAATTAGTTGAATATTGTATTATCTCTCTCTCTCTCTCTCTCTCTCTCTCTCTCTCTCTCTCTCTCTTTCGACAAATAACAGCATGATAAGCATTTTCCTTGCACACACACACACACACACACACACACACAAACTTTCTCTCTTCCTTTGTCATTCATTTTCAATAGCACCCTCAGGCCTAACTCGCCACCTATTCACACCCTTTTTCTCACCTCTCCCTCCCCTTTGCCTCCCTTCCCCCTCACCCCCTCTCCCTCACCATAACCAAGCCAGTTCTACAGCGTTTGGGTAAAATTGGGGGGGAGGGGGTAATACTTCCGGCTTTGTGGGAGGTCTCTTACCAATGATTAATGGATGTTTTGACGCCACGTTCTCTACCACCATCACCTACCACAACTACTACCATCACCACCACCACCTGTATACCATAACCACCACAACCACCATCACCACTACCATGCTATTATTATTATTATTATTATTATTATTATTATTATTATTATTATTATTATCATCATCACTTATTTCACTAAGTCTTCTCCTCCCTCCCACGTAGTCATCTTCCACTCCTCCTCTTCCTCTTCCTCCTTCTCCTCCTCCTCCTCCTCCTCCTCCTCCTCCTCCTCCTCCTCCTCCTCCTCCCTCCTCCTCCTCCTCCTCCTCCCACATATCTTCCCACACCACTACCACCATATCTTTTGAGTCCACTTTAACGACACCCCCTCCCCCCCTCCTCCCCTCCCACATCTAACCCCTCCTACCCCCCACTGTTTCAATTCCCACGCAATACCTACCGCTATACTCACACCGTCACCACCACTATCACATCACATCACATCTCTGTTCTCTGCTACTACACCTCCTCACCACACCACTATTATTATTTGCATCATTACCTTAACACCACTATATCACCAATTACATCACTACCATAACACCACCACCACATCACCATACCACCAGCACCACCCTTCCTATTTTGTTTTCCTTTAAAGCTACCACACCACACACACCCATACCCCGTCACACAGCACCATACCACCACACATCACTACACCACATCCCTACTCCACACCATCACCCTTTCCAACTCTCTTCTTTAAACCCCTCCTTATCACCACCACCACCACCAATAATCGCACCAATCTAGGCAGAATATTTTGCAAGAGACGCACACAGGTAAGGGAATGTCAACTTTGGTGAGGTGGGGGCGGCGGTGTGACCTTTGACACGCTGTAGGTCAGAGGTAAGGGTGGGAGAGGGGTTAGGTCAGGGGGTATAAGTGGGAGAGGGGGGTTAGGTCATAGGTGATGGTGGGTTACGGGGTTAGGTCAAAGGTGGAATGGGTGGGTGGGTGGGTTGGTGGGTGGAGGGGTCTTGAACACGCGTCCAGAACAAGATATTTACCAGCTGGCGCCTCTGAAGCCCCAGAGAGTGACCCCAAACAACTCGTGGCATCGTCGTTGTTGTGTGGTCAAGGTCGTACTCGAAGGGTCGTCCTTGAGAGTGATCCCGTGTGTGTGTGACTGTGTGTGTCGTTAAAGGGGGGTTATTACATTTAAGAGGGGTTTTAGCCAATATTTTGGGGGGTGGTTACTTTAAAGGGAATTTAGGAAGGTATTCCATCTCATCTCACACACAAAGTCAAGAAAGTTCTGTCTGTTAGAGGGAGGGGGTCTAACCTAACCTAACCTAACCTAACCTAACATAACATAACATAACATAGCATAGCATAGCATAACATAACCCAACTTTTAATTTTAACTACCGTAGAATGCTGGGCTAAGACACCTCTGTTCTCTTAGCCTAAGGGATTGAATACCTTAATGAATTTTTAGGCAAGGTTGGGGGAGGGTTAAGAGGGGGTTGATAGCCAGAGGAGGAAAGGAGGGGGTTGGTAGCCAGGGGAAGAGGGGGGGTGGTAGCCGGGGGATGGTTGGTAGCCGGGATGGGGGGGTGAAGATGAATTATTAAAGGCTAGGTCTACACGCTTGGCTCGTCGGGTTTAATTTATATTAAAGTTGTGTTTACTGACCATTAAAGGTTAAAAGGGTAGAGAGGCGGTGGTGGTGGTGGTGGTGGTGATGGTGGTGGTGGTGATGTAATATAATGCGGAAATGGGAACGTGTGTCAGGGGTAGGTGGTTAGGGGGTTGTGTGTGTATGTGTACGTATATTTGTGAGTTTTTGTGTGTATATGTGTTTGTGTCTGTCAGTGTATGTGTAAGTGTTTATGTAAGTGTGTATGTACAGTATATCAGTGTGTGCGTATGTATGTATGTAAGTGTGAGTGTATTGTTGCGTGATATTAATTGTGTTAAATGTATTTATTAATTAAAATGACAATGTTACACCGTACATATAAGATGTAATAATTGGCCTGCCTTGTGTGTGTCTGTGTGTGTGTTACGTCATTCATACAGCCTTATTGTGCTTAATGAAATATAATAAAACAACACATTAACAACATTTACAACACTTTACCTTCCATTGAGAGATTAAGTGACGTGATATAACCCGTGGTTGTTATGTTATGAGTTATTTATCTCATTATTACAATACAGGTGATCTCTTAACACCTGTTTGTTTACCTGTTGTAGTGATGCTTCTTGTGGTCACCCGGAGATTAGGAACCACAGTTTATTTCACCTGATGATAAAACACCCTAATGCAAGCTTAACCTAACCTAATCCAACATAAAATACCGTGTACTAACCTCACCTAACATTTTAACTTAATTTAACGTAACCTAACATTTTAACTTAATTTAACGTAACCTAACATTTTAACTTAATTTAACCTAACCTAACAAAACCCAACATAACCTAACCTAACAAAACCCAACATAACCGAACCTAAACTAATCTAATCTAACCTAACCAAACATGGATTTAAATAGTATTGTTTTTAAGTTCAATTCTATACACCAGCGGCATAAATAAGTATTTTTGTTTTATAATTATATGTCGTAGTCACCCACACCTTATTTTCTTTTCCATTATTTTAATTTTATTCCAATTTTTAACAGGACAAAGTGAGAAATAAAAACTGACGAGTGAATGAGAAAAAAAGGTGATTAAAAGCATCGTAATTATGTGTACAGTATTAATTACACCTCATTATCCCAGTGAAACAAGGTAGTTAATAATATCACAGTGTCCCCTTAACTATGCCAGACAGAAAATGGGAAATAAGAACGAAAATGAAAGATAAATTATGTGGGATTGATTTATGTTTGACCGAAATTAAATGAAAAATAAGGCAATAGAAAATGTCACTGGACGATATATGACAAATGATGTGTATTTAGGTAATGAATGATGACGAAATAAAGTGAAAAATGGGATTAATAATAGAGAAACAGAGGACGAAGGAGGAGGATGGCAATGTCGTTACTAAAAGAGGAATAAGAGAAAGAGTAACAAGGCCTCAGGTGAAGAAATATACCACAGAAAGAAAAGAAAGAGAAAAGATAGGAAAGGGAGAAAATAAAGAGAGAAATATTAAAAGTGAAGAGAAGAAATACAGTGAGAAAACGCCAAGTGGTTCAAAGACAAAAGACACAACGAATAAAAGAACGAAAGGAAAAACAGCGATAACGAACGCAGAAGGAAGTGGAGAGACAACAAGAAGAGAAGAGAAAGAAGAAGAAGAATTTAAATCAAACTGGATACCTGAACACGAAGACTTGGTGACGTTTGTTTTGGTATCTGGTTCACATACACCTGACGAAGGCCATGACGATGATGATGAGTCCACCTCCTCCTCTTCCTTTTCCTTCTTCGCCTCCTCCTCCAGCACCAGCAGCGTATTGGGCAGGTTCCAGGAGAAGAAGCCCGTGCCCAGGTTTCCATCTTCCAGACCGACGTCCTTGGAAACCATCATTGAAGACGGTCCTTGTCCTTACTCTTTCCAGGAAGCCATCATGAGCTCGTCACTGGATAGCCGAGCCTTCTATCGTGACTGTCGAGGTAGTCTGGAGAGCTTACTGGGGAGGAACAGAGGAACACATCGGAATCTTCCCAGAAAAACAGATGGTTTCGGCGGCGATATTGTCCTCGGGAGGAAAAAGATACTATCGGACATTCTCGCTGAGGAAGAAAATTCCGGCGAGGATTTTCTCTCCGTTCCTGAAGAAGAGGAAGAAGATGGAGAAGAAGAATGGAGAGACTTTCTAGAGAAGACAATGGAGGGGGTAGTGGATGCAGCAGCTGTTGGGAGGAAAGGAGAATCTATTGATGGAAGTTTCTCCTTCCCTGGCGAGTTTTTATTGGAAGGTGAAGAGCTTAAGTCCTTGATGAATGATTCACCTTTACCTTACAGCTTTACGGCCCAAGACGAGGCTGGTGATGGACCTCTGACTCAGGACTGCCAACCTGACGAGGATGTAGTAGATGCAGTAAGTGGCGCTGACGAGGGTCTTCCCGAAGGAGCAGCTGAGACTGACGATGCCTGTGAAGAAAAACACTCCAAGGGCATCCCAGAAGAAGCAGATGATTTTGTTGATTATGACCCACGAGATATAATTCACCCGAGTAAAGATTCTGACGATGGTGTGAACGAAGACCACCATCATCATCATAACTACAGTGACGGTGTCCTGCGAGAAAGACCCACAGCTGAGGGTGACACAGCAGAAGTCCTTGACACTATCGGCGACAAGAGATGCATCCCCGATAACGAATGCAGTGATGTAGAGCGCCGTCAGCACCTCCACCAGCACCACCTTCTCGACCCTGACGGTACACAGATCACAACCTCTGATAGGGATCGATGCCCGGGCGAAGTTGACGGACAGCGGGAAGGAGGAGGCGGCCTGGAGGTTATTGCTGATGGTGACGAAGGTGCTGCTGACGAGGGTGACGAAGGTGCTACTGACGAGGGTGACGAAGGTGCTGCTGACGAGGTTGTTCTTGACGAGGGTGGGACTAATGGATGCCGGGATATACTGAAGAAGGAAGGAGTTGATGTGTCCAGGATTGAAGGAGGTGATGTGTCCAGGAAGGAAGAAGGTGATGTGTCCAGGAGTGAAGGAGCCGATATGTCCAAGGAAGGAGAAGGAGGAACCGATGTGACCAAGAAGGAAGAAGTGTCCCCAAAAGAAGTTTCCTTTAGTGTCTACATCCAACTGGAAGCTTTAAACGAAGAGGTGACCATAGAGGAGAAGAGGGGTGAAGGAAAGGAAGAGGAGGGGAAGGAAGCAACAACGGAGGACGGGGATGAAGGAGAGAAGAAGGAGCAGAACAAAGCAACGGAAGAAAGAATTATGAGTGAAGCGATAACGAAAGAGATGGATGGAACGATAACGATAACGAATGATATCACACTAGAGACAACAACGAATAAGAGAAGCGAACAAAAGACAAATAAACAGAACGAAAGAATATTGGAGGACAGAGATAAAGTAAAAACGGAAGAATGGGACGTGGAAATGACAGATAAACCGAAAGAAGGGACAACGAAGGAGAGGGAGGAGGCGAGACAGGAAGGAGGCGAGGGACGACTGGCTCCAAAATACCTGCGGGAGTTTGTAAAAGGTGAGTCCAGGTAGGTGTTGAGGGTCACCTGGTGGTCCCTACAGGTGAGTACTCTCTCTCTCTCTCTCTCCATGTCATTTCACCCATACCAGTCAACAACACAGAGTTTTGATGGGGTTGAGTGGATACAGCATTCACCTCCAATCCTAAAAGTCGCTGGTTCGATCCCAGGGCACTCCCAGTCCACCCAACTGTAAATGGGTCCCTGACTTTGTAGATGAGGGAGTGAAATCGGTCGAGTTCAGTACCGGTTATGCTTCCTCCTTGTATAGTATAGGTTTATAGTATGTATGTATGTACGTATGTATGTGCTGATAACCACATAAGAAACAAGAAAACACGAAGTTCCCAAACGCTATCGTGTAATTCACATCTTCAGGGGTATGTTGTAGGTATGTATGTAGATATGTATGTATAGTATAGTATAGTATAGTATAGTATAGTATAGTATAGTATGTATGTATAATAGTGTATGTATGTATATGGTTGTATGTATGTATGGTTAGTTAGTATGTATGGTATAGTATGTGTGTGTGTATGTGTGTATGTATAGTATGGTATAGTGTATATGTATGTATGGTATAGTATGTATAGATTAGTATAGTATGTATGTTGTGATATAGTATGTATAGTATAGTATAGTATGTAGATGTATGTATGTATATATATAGTATAGTATATTATAGTATAGTATAGTATAGTATGTATGTGTATGTATGTATGTATAGTATAGTATAGTATAGTATAGTATAGTATGTATGTTAGTAATAATATGTATAGTATAGTATAGTATAGTATGTATGTATGTATAGTATAGTATAGTATAATTATAGTATAATATTATGTATGTGTAGTATATGTATGTATAGTATAGTATAGTATAGTATGGTATAGTATGTATAGTATGTATGTATGTATGTATGTATGTATAGTATAGTATAGTATAGTATAGTATAGTATAGTATGTATGTATAGTATGTTGTTTACACTATCACTAATGCCTGTCATACCTATGGGACCTTATCTATACCTGTAAAAACACCTAATTTTTGTCCTAATAAGTTACTAATTTACCCTTTTCTCTGTCCTCCAGGTGAGTTGAGTTGTCCTGGTTCGAGGTTAACGAGGCAGGAAAACACAGGTAAAGTCAATTTTTACCTGTTGATAGTTAACGTCAATGCGTGAGTGTGAGGTGATGAGGGAGGGTGTGAGGTGATGAGGGAGGTGTGAGGTGGTGAGAGAGGTGTGAGGTGATGAGGGAGGTGTGAGTGATGAGGGAGGTGGGGTGATGAGGAGGTGTGATGATGAGAGAAAATATTAAAGAAAGGAAAATATGAAATAAGGAAAAAATACATGAGAAAATGAGGAAGACGGGAAATAATGAGGAAAGATGTGAAGGAATGAAGGAAAGTTTATGAGGAGACAGAGACAATAACATGAGGGAGGGTGAACTATAAGGGGCCAGCTCGTAGTGCCTGGAGGCTGGTAATTACAGGTTGTGTTGTGGCGGTGGCTTTGTTGACTCTCCGGCATGGTCCCCGCGTTGGTGTGGCACTGTGATGATGGCTAGTAGTGGTGTTTGATGCTACTGTGGTGTGTGTGGGGGGGGAGGGAGATTAGGTTAGACACGAGTGCCTAATTTACAGGTGATCTCCTATTTCCGTTTCACCTTCATTAATTCTCAGGTAGTTGGTGTGAGGTGAGAGAGATGAAGTGAGACAGAGCAGAGTAAGAGAGATGGGGTGAGACAGAACAGGTGAGAGAGATAAGATGAGAGAGATGAGGTGAGAGATGAGGTAAGAGAGATATGTGATGTAAACAGTGGCCGCCGTGTTGGTAATGTTATTGTAGTGTTCTGGTGAGTGAAGAGGGAATCTGAGACTGTGTTGTGAGACGCCTGGGGATGTGTACCTGGTTGTGGGAGGAGAGTCACCTGGTGCTCCTTCCCTCCTCCTCACGCTCATATTCTCCCCTCACGCTCCTCCTTCACGTTCCTCACTACCACTACCCAGCAGCCAGTCTCCGGGTTAGGATGTGTGTGTGTGTGTGTGTACAGTTTGTGGGTTGTATTAAACTGTACTACCCTGACTGGAGTGTTAGCAGGGGGGGGTTGACTGTGTTGTTTAAGTGGTCAATTTTGTATATACATTTGTTGACACTTACCAGTCATACCAGCCTCTCTCACACCACCTCACGACTCACCACCTCTACCGACTCACCACCTCTACCACGACTCACCACCTCTACCACGACTCCACCTCTACCGACTCCCACCTCTACCGACTCACCTACCAGCTCACCTACCGACTCACCACCACTCACACTCACCATTACTTCACCAACACACACCCGACTCACCACTACTACTACTACTACTACCACAATAAAGCACCACTATCGCGACTTACTACCACAGCTCACCACCACCACCTGAGATTTCCAACAAGACATTACTAAAGTGACAAAAATTCTCCAACTTGGAAATTGAATACCACTTTTTCTACCAGGTTTCATATCCTTAGATGATGTGAGACCTCTTAAGTGCCTTTGATGTTACCGAACTCTGGGGGGAGGAGGAGGGGGGAGGATTGTCAAAGGTTCTAACGTTATATATTCGTTTATTTCTGTAATTTTGTGTTTTATTTCGTTTCGTTTTCTGTCGTTATTTATGAATTATTTCGTTATTTATGTTTTATTTTGTTAATTTTTTGTTTATTTCCTAAATTTTTGGTTTATTTCGTAATTTTTTGGTTTATTTGGTTAACTTTTTGCTTTTCTTTAACTTTTCGTAAATTTTCTCATTGTTTCGTGATTTTTTCTTTTTTCGTTAATATTTTTAATATGACTTTCAGATATAGTCACAGAGCAACTTAGTAGTCATTGAAGCTGTTTGTCATTTTTGTAACGAAGATAGATAGATAGATAGATAGATAGATAGATAGATAGCTAGATAGATAGACAATCAGACAGACAGACACCCTTAAAAAATCAGACCTCCCTCAATATCTCCAGCGAGGCTAAAATAAAATGTACAAACAAAACAGCCAGTTACAATTACAACATTTTACCCTTTCTCTTTTGTCTTGTGTTGCGGCGTTATCAAGAAATACAACTGGGGGAGAGGGGCAGTGTTTTCCGTGAGGGTGGAATAGTCTACGCAGCGAGATTATAGAAAACGGGGTGTGGATAAAAAATGGGTCACATTTTAGGGGTAACTTGGAGAGAATGAGTGTGGGATGACTCTACTGTAGTTGTTTATTTACGCTAGGATGTGGTGGTTGTGTTTGTGAATGAGAGAGAGATAGATGGTGGAGGGAAGGACGGAGGGAAGGTGAGAGAGAGAGATAGATGAAGGAGGTAGGGAGGGGCGGAGAGTGGGAGATGAGGGAAGGAAAGGGAAAACGAAGGAGGATGGGGAGGGGTCAGGAAGGGGGTGGGGAGATGGGAAAGAATTGGGTAGGTAATGGGTGAAGAAGATGAGGACAGGATGGGGAAGAAAGGAATGGGGTTTGGGGAAGGAGGAGGGGCAGGGATGGGTATTGGGGAAGGAGGAGATGGAGGATGATGATGGGGAAGGAGGGTGAGAAAGAAAGATAGAGAGAATGCAGGCAAGACACATAATGCACTATTGGTTTTCAATATCAGGGTCCAACAAGAGTCCCCTCCCCACCTCCTCCCCAACCTCCCTCCCCAACCTACCTCCTCAACCTCCAAGAACCTCCCCAACCTCCTCCCCAACCTTCTCCCAAACCTCCTCCCCAACCTCTCCCCAACCTCCTCCCCAAAATAGATAATCTTAAGATGGTACCTTTACCTGTTGATATATTTAGCCATTTGATAAAAAAAGAAGAGATATGATAACTCTTTTATTATATCTAAGACTGTGGTTATATTGTTGGGTAGTTTTGGTTATCTTAGTAAAGGAAAGTATCTCTGTGTTATCTTAGACTGTGGTTATATTGTTGGGTAGTTTCTGTTATCTTGGTAGGGTAACTGTTATCTTAGTTACCTTCACCTGGAGTACACACCTTTAGAGAACGACATTGATTAGATGGGGGCAAAGGTGTATCTTAGTTACGAATGTTAATTACTTTAGATACCTGTGGCCTTCCTGGTTAAGATAGCGAAAGAGATAACGAATTCCTTGATATCTATAGCGAATATTTTGATAGCTATAGCGAACTCCTTGATATCTTGTAACACAGACGCATCCTAAGTCTGTGTGACGTGAGGAGAGGCGAAAGTCAGGTGCACACACACACGCACACACACACACACACACACACACACACACACACACACACTGCCCAGGTAATTACAACACTTCCGGTCACCACGTCCGCTACTCTTCATGCGGTGTTTGTTACCCATTTAAAGTGTTGTGTTACTGTTACTGTCTCGTCCATCACTCCTGTTACTTTTGTGTTACTGCTACTGTTGTGTTACTGTTACTATTGTGGTGCTGTTACTGTTGTGTTACTGCTACTGTTGCTGCCTCGTCCACCGCTCCTGTTATTGCTACTGCCGTTTCCTGTACTGTCCCTCCTGACACACTTCACCTTCCTCTCCTGTTGCCTCGCCTTCTGTTGCTCCTCCTCAGTGGGAGTGTGTGTGTGTGTGTGTGTGTGTGTGTGTGTGTGTGTGTGTGTTGTAAGCGGTACTCGGGAAAAATAATACACAATATTTATTTACTATAATCTAAATACAATTGTAAAAGGTAAAACACAACACCATCTTCTTCTTCTTCTTCTTCTTTCTGCCTTTTTGTGTTTTGCTGTCCTTTTCTTTCTTCTCTTCTTCCTTCTACTCCGTCTTCTTCTTCTCTTCTTCCTCCTCCTCCATCTTCTATTCTTCTTCCTCCCCTCTACGTCTTGCTGTCTCCTGCTGTCTCGCCGGACAAAAGGTGTAAGATGTACTGTAGGAGGAGGGGAGGTGAGGAGGAGATGCCTGTGGTGAGTCCTCTCCCCCCTTGTCCCCTCCTCCTCCTCCTCTGCCTCCTCTTCCTCCTGCACCTTTAACTCTTACTCATCATCTCTTCCTCCCCCTCCCTTCATAAGGTCGTTAGTATGTAATTACAGTAGTTAGGGACGTTTTCACATTATCAGAGAGAGAGAGAGAGAGACGTTGTCACTTTTCCTCACTCACAGGGCTCAGGTAAGCCAAAATAGTCCCTTCCCCTCCCTCCTCCCCCACCTCCCCGCCCCATTTAACCTTCTCCCCACCCCACCCCATCTCCCCCATTCGCCTTATACACAGTGTCCAGTTTATGGGGTTGTCTCACATGGGTTAACTCTTAAGGGGACCCCCATAAGAATTTCCTGCCAAGACTCACCCATTTTCTTGCCCAGAGGCTGACGGAGGGAGTCTGACCCCACGTATAGAAAATGTAAGGTGGGGAGGAAAATAAACTAGACTCCTCCGGGGCAATCTGTAAAAAAAAATCTGTAATCTGACAAGTTTACTGATGTGTGTGTGTGTGTGTGTGTGTGTGTGTGTACCTGACTCCTCCACCCCCCCCCACCTCCCATAATGGCCAGCTGCGCACCGTGACCCTGAAACAAGCGCCATAATTACGGGTTAGGAAGACAGCAAGGGGTCAGCCACAGGTCAAGAGAACTCATTATAGACAACGGTGACCCGAGCGGTTGACCTTCCGGAGAAAATTCTTAACGGACAAAATTTTTTCTTCCGGACAAAATTCTTTTTTTGCGGACATAATCGTAACCTGTTGAATATTTATTGAAGTATTAATGTTGTTGTTTTTGGTTTAGAATAACACATGACATAAGATCTGGTGTGTGTGTCTCTCTCTCACACATATACACTCACTCACTTGCACACTTACACTCACTCACTTGCACACTTACACTCACTCACTTGCACACTTACACTCACTCACTCACTCACACACACACACACACACACACACACACACACACTCACACACACACACACACACACAATGCGGGTGCCAGGTGTTTGTCATCAACTGGCACCCGGGCGTCATTGGTGCCAAGGCCGTACCTCTCTGTCTGGCACTCCACCCCCCTACACACACACACACACAAATAAGATCAGTTTAATCGTTTGTGTTAATGGATACTTATGTGTATGTATGTATGTGTGTGTGTGTGTGTGTATGTGTGTGTGTGTGTCTATTTATCTGCCCCCCACATATGACCTCG